GAAACACTAGAAACGATTGAGTAACCTGTGAAAACGAGTGTAACAAAGATGTATATGTTGTTTTGTGTCTTTAATTTGTTTAAAAATTGGCATAAATAATGGTAGTAATGATATTGTGGTTGGGAAAAATACCTGAACTTGTAACTCCAGTTTAGCTCTACCATATCCAAAAATAATGAATTGTGTTTAGTGTATTACTGTCAAACCATCTTTTTAATTACATTTAGTACTGTATTTATCCCATGTTCTAACAACTGGAAGTTACCTGAGAAAAGTACATTTGTACCAACAGTAAATTAAACACACTTCAAAGACTTAGATACGATACTTAAATCATTAATGTACCAAATAATAACTTAGGACCAAATACTGACCCCTGGGGGACACCACAAATAATGTCCAAACATGAGGAGCACTGAAAGTCCATCTTCACAAGCTGCTTCCTGTCTCTAAGGTAAGTGTACACTCAACTCAACACAATGCCCCTGGTATGGTAAATTTCTAGTTTTTTTTTTTTAATGTTGTGTTTTATGGTATCAAATGCTTTCTTAAGGTCTAGGAATATTCCAACTGTGTACTGTTTTTGGTCTATTAATGCCCCTTTTCCACTAGTGCCTCAATAGCATGATTCAGCTTGGCTCTGCACAATTACAATGGGTTTCCATTATCCRTGATTCATGGAACTGGCCCCCTTTTTAGTACCTCCTTTCTTGTGGTCATCTTTGTAATTGTGCCACTTAAGAAAACAGGTATAACGGAATCGGTAGCAGGTTCTTAAAAAGACAGAGGCCAATTTCAATATGTTTAGAAACACCTTGAAATTTATATATTATCTATTAAATCTAAATGTTATGTCATTCACTTTTTCAACATCTGGCAAGCGAATTACATGCAAAGGTGTAGCAAATTACTTTATCTCCTTATTTCCCTCCCTAGCTCATGCTTATCAACTCAGAAAGTAAAGCAGAAATTACGAAGGCCTGAGAATTAAAGCAGTAGAAGAAGATGGTATCAGATCTTATCTTCACAAATCTGAAGTTATTTGAGYTACCTTGTGTTGATGCCAACTATGTCACGTGGAAGAATGGTGATAGAGAAATTTAGATCAGCTGATAAAGTACTTTTACTTGGTGCTGGTGTGTTAGAAGTTAGGCGGTATCATCAACCTGACAACTTTAGAGGTGAAGCTGAGAAAATGGTGGTTAAGATCAGAAATGCTGTATGTTTTTTCTCTCTAATAGGTACATTAAAAACATGGACCCCAAAACTCCAATTTAAGCTCTACCTATAGTATACACATGTTTGTCATAATAAAAAAGCTTTTCATCTTTCACTGAGGACACTTTTTTTGTTGAAGACACATTTCTACTTTCAGAGTTTTTAATAAAAGCCCAAACAATTTAATGGATGAGATACTTTGTCTATGTGTCTTTAAGTGAATGATTTTCAGTAAAATACTGTCTTACGTTTGTCTTAGGCCAAATAAAAACCCACAGCTAAGCAATTAGGAAACAAAAATGACAAGTCTATTTTAGAAATATTGAGATTTTTTTTTTTATTTAAAATAATATTTCTTGGCAAATATTGTTGTGGTATTGTTTTGTACATATTGCATTAAAGAAACATCCTAAATAAATTGAAATGTGTATATATTTGCATTCAATGCTCTCTTTGTGCTATTAGTTGTTTTTTGTTTCATTTTTTTCATCTAATCCATTAGTTTGCACCAAAAAATATTTCTGCTTGCTTAGTTAGCGTACCTACTAACACAACTAAGGCTTACCAATTCTTGCAGTCACACATGCTGTACACCTCTAAAGATGTTTCTTAATACCAGCATGTCAGATCACAAATAGAAAAGATTTGGATTTCAACCTGACTGCTTTACAAAGTCTGGATAAAAAGTTTATAATCTTTAGCTGTATGCAAAATGAGGAAATGTGCATGGCAATTTGTAAATAATTTTGCAGTTTCTACATAGTAGATGACATTTCAAAGTACTTGCCCTATGGAAAAAAATGAATTATTTTTTTATAAGACAAAAACCGACACACTAGAATATTAAAAACAATATCACTGATGTAAAAAATCATGTAGAAAATGTTTAAAAATCTGGAGTAAAAATCACTACGTAAAGCCCTATTCTGACGGGATTAGTTTTACCTAGGGGACCCATACTATTTGCATTAATTACAGAGATGGTCTGTGTTGTTAATCCCGTGCAAACTCACCATGTCAGTATTTTGTAAGTATAAGTAAGAAATTCTCCGCAAATTACCTAGGCTACTACTGTATATTTCGCTGAACTACAAGGTCCTGTGATAATACTAATCCAATGCGAATAAGCATCTCTGTGATTTGGACAGTTTAATCAGGCGTATTTTTTTTTTTTTGTTTGTTTCCTGGATGCATTTTTATTTACTTTTGGTGAAGAATGGAGGTTGGATTGGAGTGCATTGAAAACCTTTTTTGTCCTGGGCTGGCAAAAACCCACCCAAAACTTGCAGCATAAAAAAAAACTAAAAAACTAAAAAAGGGGCTGAAGAACAGGAACAAAATCAGATGTAAATGGTGGCTCACTGTGATTATTATTATTTTTTTTCTGTTTGTAGCCTTCTGGCTGATGCTGAGCATTGAGCTGTGGCTGTAGCACAGAGCAGGCTTGCGTTTTGGGTACTTGCGCTGGGCACACGTACCCTCACCAGCGTTGTAGGCATGTATACTTGGTGCTTACGTTGTTCTAGTATTCTCCAAAAGGACATGTGCAGCAGAACACTTTTATAACTTATGAAATGTTGTAAATAGGAGAGCAAAAGCTTGATGAACAAACTGTTTAAATGATGTGTGGTGCATGCACCCTCGCAGTGATAAACACATCAACTAACCAAGCTTCAATTTCACATTCAGGAGATATCTGCAAATTTCAGAAAAATCTCAAGCGTCAATTATCCCATGTGAAAGTGCCAAATAAAAAACAGACGTTGGGGAGTAATTTATTTATTACATGGGGTCCCCAGATAACGCTTATCTCATGAATAGGGCTTAAAACATAACACATTAAAAGCATACAAAGAAAGCATGCTTAATTACTATAGGCTCACTTGTAACCTAACTCTTCAACTGAGCTTATTTTATTTAATTTTGTAATGTACAAAATAATCATTTGCACTTGTTCTCTCATCAYTGGGAAGGAAAACCTTGTTTGGACCATTACCATAATAATTTTAACATGAGAACTCCCCAAATTCTGGGGCAGGCAATTTGTTTAATTATATTTGGGCAATGAGTACTTGACCACAATAAAATTAACTGGGAGAGGACCACAAATCACATGGCAAAAGAAGAAAACAACATTTTAAGCACATACCAAAGAACAAAATTTGTTTCTTAATACATTAATTCATTCTACAGTATGTTTCTAAATTTATCAATATGTAGGTTAATAAAAAAATAAATAAAAACACAGGCCTGAATATCCATGGCAGAATGACTTTAGGTTAAACTCCTGCAGTTCAGAACATGATCGACAACGGATGCATCTCATTAGCATGGCCCAYTGGAGACCTGTGCTACTTCAAAACACCTCCAACCTGCTGAGGCTAATGCTGAGCCTGCTGGCGGCTATTAATAGAAACCAATCTGCAACAGTACCTAATGAGCACAATCCACTTCAAACCCACTGTCAACAGCCAGTCACAGTGTACGTGTAGTGTGCATGTGCCTGTGAGTGAGTACAGCTGACTATGCTGTTTTGATCACAAGTGTACTGAAAATAACTGGTGATGAGTGAGAGTGTATGTGTGTATGAAGCCTTTGTTGCTAAATATAGACAAAAGCAATTTTCCAAGTTTTCTCAGCAGGATGTTGGCAATGTGATCAAATATTGCCTTTTTTGTCTTTAGGTTTCAATGTATTTAACTTACTTATTTATATATGGCTTTTTATGTATTTTTCCTACAATGTGTGTGCTATGTATACTGACTTTTAGCCTGCATCACTTGCAGATATTTACATGAATTTGTAAATATGCATATATATAAATATACATACTGTATATGCATCCTTGTTTGCAGTAGTTCTATCAAAGTTTGTAATGTTGTAAACACAATGGAATTATTACTCATCTGTTCTTCATTTCAGATGTTTATATAAAAATAACATATCAACATTCCACAGGTGGAAGCTGTAATGATGACTTAAAACAGTTTAACATTGTTATCTAAAATTGCTAAAACAGTCTGCTTTTTTCTCCCACACTTCTTTTTAGGGTGGTTTGTGTCTGCCAGATCAGGAAATATGACACAGCAGAAAAAAACTGTGAGCCCAGGTGACAACACTGTCACCGCCTCAAAAGAAAAAAAAAAAAGACAGAGTTAAATGATTAACACATACCTTCAGAAATGCGACAGATATTTTCTACGTAGGTCATTAGTATGTATTAATCCTGTTGATATTTAAGGTATAATATTTTGTGCGACTCTTGCTTCTTTTATTGGGCATTGTTGTGCTTATTTCCCCAAAGACTAGCTGTCAATCAAAGCCTGACACTAATGTAGAGTTTGGCATTTTATTTATATCTTTGAAAATAAGATTTATTTGAAACATCTGTCACTCAGTGGTCATCATTGCTCACATTACCAATGATGCTTTCTTTCTTTAAAGTGTTTTCAGAACTGCTAATGTAGAAAGATGGCTCATATTAACCATTTATCAATAAATTCCACTTTGAACTAAGTTGTATTTTTCTGACACCAGCTTTCACTAATACAACACAATTATTGAGGAAAAACTGTTTAATAAGGCTACTACAGGTTAATCTTAAACTCAAATTATCAACAACCCTMATGTTGCTGTTTTAAACGTTTTCACATATCTGATGTTATGTTGTTTGTTGTAACGTGTCTGTAATGGAAGACAGCTTTTGAAATGTCCATGTGTGTACCACAGGTGTTTGACATACACATAAGAAGTCAATCTGACAAAACACTGTAAGTATTTACCTTGAATTTGATGCTGTCAGATCATCCACCACTTCTTAGCAATGGGAGTCTGCAATAAAAGGACAGAAAGTAAAAAATAAATAAATAAATAAAATAAAAAAGGCAGAATGACCCATCAATGTCACTCACTA